ATAATAAAACATTCAACTTCTTCATTAAAAAAAGAGCCGAGCTATATGATGATTTAAAAATACAAGACATTCCAGCACTATAAAAAGTAATGGTCATGGAGAAGAGGAGGCACAGATAAAACACTCACGAATGCAAGAAAGAACAGTGCCCATTATCACGTATATTCTACCAGGAAGTTTATAGGGGATTTTCCTTTTTACATAGGTGTGATAATGATCACGTACATGCAAATGCACGTGCATCTCCTCCATATAACAGATGATTTTCAGATCTAGTTGGCTGTACTATTTTAAAAGAGAAGGGTTAAAATCAGCTGGGTAAAAAATAAACTCCCAGTTATAAATCATCTATAATGAATAGAGACCCAAAACAATAACCCAGGCGGAAAACAATCATTGTAGAAATGATCCAGCTAGCTTTTCAAAACTTTAGCTATGCAATTTCTTTCTCTAACCGCTCTCTTACTTTGCAAAATTCCAAAGAAAAGTTATTTTCATAAATATTGTCTTATGCTTTAGCATAAAGCATCAATTAATTATGTGGCAGGCCAACAGCAAAGTCTCCAGGAAACTCACCATATTCACTTAGAATGTTTACTAGATATGGTCTGGGAGGACCAAGAGCTTAGTTGCAGGTAGGCAGAAATGAAAGGACAGCATTGCTAGTAAACTAACGGGGGTGTGGTGGGAGAGTAAACTAACAGAAAGATCATAGCCCCATTGTTTGATTAACCACCTGTGGCTTAACTCATTGTTTTCAAGATTAAGTATCTGTAGCTTCTCTAAGTGTTTTTACAGCACTTAAACTGAGCAGATAGGAGCATGATGCTCCCCCAGCTCCCATCAGACCATATTTCAAGGACCCTGATAAGCAAGCCTCACAGAGAAGATTCAAAAAGGAAAAACTGATGCTGCTGCTTCTGCCTTCCGCTATCAGCTGGCAGCAATAATTATCTTTTTTCTTTTCTCTTTCTCTTGCACTCTCTCAGAGAAAGTAAAAATACACTTTGTTCTTCTTTCTAACTTAATATTTGCATTGAGAATTCTTTCTCATCCCACCCTACAAGTTCCCATTCTTGTTAAAGTGGGACTGCAGTAGGGCTTACGAATCATAAGCAAAATGGTTATGAGCAGTGGTTGCCTTTGTTTCGAGGCAAGTTATTCTCCTGATCAGGGCCAGGAGAGAAGCCCCTGGCTGAATGAGCTTACAAGAGCAAATAAATTGGGAAGTTAGCAAGACTTCCTGAAACAGAGTGTTTGTTACCTACAGAGCTATGCTGCATTCCACAGTAAAAGGAAGAGGGGGTGGGAGGCTGCTAAATGACCCTAATTTTCATTATGTCCCCTTTATGCTGTTCTTCTGCCCTATTTCCTGGTAGATATCATTAACTCCAAGAAGGTAAGTGCTTCCTCTTCTGCCAGAGCCACACAGACGCCCGGCAAGCTGGTCGACTTAGAGTGACACTAGGGCTAATATGTAGCAGGGATACAGTCCTGGCTGTGGCTGGTGACTCTGAGGCTGATGCTTATCACCACCTGCCATGTCACCATGTACTACAAGGGAAGAGAAGGCAAGACAGCTAGAAGATGCTAGATTGCTTCCAGCAATAATTAGTTATCATTACTCAGCCACTTTTATCCAAAACTCAGATCTCCAGCTTCCAGTGAGCCTTTTCCCCCACTCCTAATGGGAGAGTTACAATAAAGCCAGAGGCAACAACAACCACTTGGCACTTAGAAGAACACTTTCAGCCAGGCCTGATGACGGACAACTGTAGTCCCACCTGGTTCGGGGTTGGGGGGGGGGCCTAAGAAAGGAGGATCTCTTGAGCCCAGTAGTTCAAAAGGTTATAGTGCGCTATGATCATGCCATTGCACTCCAGCCTGGGAAACTTAGCAAGACCCCATCAATTTCCCCCCCACCTGCCAAAAAAACCCAAACTATTTGATACCTTTGGAGTCCATGGAACTGTAAAATCTATGATTCAGTGAAACTTTCAGCTGTGCTGAATAAAATAAAAATAAAGTTTATGTCTACAGACTTTTCAGTTCCCAGTAGTCAGCTGGGAAATTCTCTGCACATATTTGAAACATGATACATCCCTGCCGACTACAGGTCATCAATGCCTCAGTAAGTCATTCTCTTCCTGTAGGCGTCACCTGGAGTTGAAGACCAGGGATTTATAGCAACGCCATATTGTACATCCTTCTAATTTAGGGCTGGGTGCAGTGCCTCACACCTGTAATCCCAGCACTCTGGGAGGCTGAGGCAAGTGATCGATTGAGCTCAGGAGTTCAAGATCAGCCTGAGCAAGAGCAAGACCTTGTCGCTACTAAAAATAGAAAAATTAGCCAGGCACTGTAGTGGGCCCCTGTAGTCCTAGCTACTTGGGAAGCTGAGGCAAGAGGATCACTGGAGCCCAAGAGTTTGAAGTTGCTGTGAGCTATGAAGCCATGCCACTCTACCAAGGGCAACAGAGTGAGACTCTGTCTCAAAACACACACACAAACAAATAAATAAATCCTTCTAATTTTAGACCCAGAAAAGGCAAGATGAAGACACTTCCAGGCAGAGATCATCTGTGGGGAAGAATCCTTTTCTAACATTATCTTAGGCTTTTTAAAAGAAAGAGACTCTATAAACTAGCAATATTCTCCCCAGAAATTTAACTTAAGAACATAATCTAGGCTCAGCACCTGTAGCTCAAGGGGCTAAGGTACCAGCCACATACACCAGAGCCGGTGAGTTTGAAGCCAGCCCAGGCCTGCCAAACAATGACAGCCACAACCAAAAATAGCCAGGCCCCTGGCAAGTGCCTATAGTCCCAGCTACTTGGGAGACTGAGGCAGGAGAATTGCTTAAGCCCAGGAATTGGAGGTTGCTGTGAGCTGTGATACCACAGCACTCTACCCAGGGTAACAGCTTGAGGCTCTGTCTCAAAAAAAAAAAAATGAACATAATCTAAAAGAAATAAGAGGGTGGTACCCATAGCTCAGTGGGTAGGGTGCCAGCCACATACACTGAGGCTGGCAGTTTCAAACCCAGCCTGGGCCAGCTAAAACAACAAGGACAATCGCAAAAACAAAAATAGCCGGGCATTGTGGTGGGGGCCTGTAGTCCCAGCTACTCAGGAGGCTGAGGCAGGAAAATCACGTAAGCCCAAGAGGTTGAGGTTCCTGTGAGCTGTGACACCATGGCACTCTACCCAAGGCAACAGCTTGAGACTCTGTCTCAAAAAAAAAAAAGAAAGAAAGAAAGAAGAGAAAAAGTTCTATGCAGGAAATTGTTTACTGTACTGTTCATTCATATTTAAAGATAGAAAACAACCTAAATCATCAATTATAGGGGAATGGTTAAGTAAATACCAGTATGTCCATTTGAAAGACTTAAATAGTGACATGCAAAAATGCTTATAATGTACTGTTGAGTGGAAAAGAGAATTTAAGAGTGTTTCCATACCTGTGAAGGAGCTGGAAGAATTATCATTTTGCAATGGATACTAAAGTCCATGAGTAAAAGTTTCACATAGTCTGAAATTCACTTCCAACAATTTTTTTTTTTCAGTTGTAAAGGGAAAAAATAGCAACCTTGCAATAGAGAACCAGGCAGATACCACTTAAGTTGTCTGAGTTACCACTGTCCCTGGTGGGACAGTGAGATGCCACATGCCTCTTTAGACAGTACATGGAGGAGGACACGCGATTTGCACTTCTGCCGAGAGTGGGTAACATCAAACCCCGAAGACATCGGACAGACCCTAACTGAGGGAGAGTCTACCAACACCTGATCTAAACTCTTAGAGAGTGTCCATGTCAAGAGCAGGACACACGTATAAGAGGGACTTTACCTAACAATTGCAATCAGTGTAACCTAACTCTTGATACCCTCAATAATTCCCAAAAATTCCAAAACAATTAAAAAAAAAAAGAAACTGTCAGTCTTAAAAGATTTAAAAAAAAAAAAAAAGGCCAAGGAACTATTCTAGAAGGAAGGGAACTACAGAGACAAGACAGCTAAATGCAGGGAGGGACCCTGGACTGGAAAAATAAAACCAAGAAAAACTAACTGGACAGTATTGGGACAACCAGGGAAATGGAAATACAGGCCACAGCTGAGAAAACAGCGCTCAATGTTAAATTTCCTAACTTTTTTTTTTGAGACAGAGTCTCACTATGTCCCCCTTGGTAGAGTACCATGGTGTCACAGCTCACAGCAACCTCAAATTCTTGGGCTTAAGCAATTCTCTTGCCTCAGCCTCCCGAGTAGTTGGGACTACAGGCACCCACCACAATGCCTGGCTATTTTTTTGGTTGCAGTTGTCATTGTTGTTTAGCAGGCCCAGGCTGGGCTCGAACCCGCCAGCCTTGGTGTCTGTGGCTGGCGCCTTAACCACTGAGCTACAGGCGCTGAGCCATAACTTTCCTGATTTTGATGAATGTCCTTATTACTCTTAGGAATTACACAGGTAACTATTTAGGGACAATAGAAGCATGAGGTATACAGCTTACTTTCAAATGGTTTAGGAGAAAAAATGACGTGCCTGTGTATGCATATCCAGAGGGAAAAGGACACCAAGGGAGGGAAGCAGGGCGCAGCGGACCAGCTCTGTGCTAACAACTGGTCACTCGGGAGGACAGGTTTACAGTAGGTCTTTGTACTGTCCTGGCAATGCTTAAAACTATTTCAAAATCAAGTTACCAAAAAAGTATATCTATGCAACGATTACAATTGTAAGAATTTCACATTCTTGCCAAAAGAAAAGAAATATGGGGAAAAGAAAATCAGACCCGAAGGGGCCAGACCATGAGTGGCACTTTTTGAGACACACAGAGAAATTCAACAAAAACTAAATAACCATATGGGGAAAAGTAATTATCCAAAGGTGACGAGAGACACCTTACCATTAAGTAACTCCTGGCATTACCTGCGGCCAGGGAGCTGGACAGAGTGGTGACTCCAGACGCAAGCGCTCTGTACGTCCCTCACCTCTCAGACTTACCTTCATTATGGCTTCATTGATCATGTTCTCACTGATGATGGTGGCAGTTCCGAAGCTGGAGGTAGCAATCTTGGTGGCTGTTGTGTTCATTGGCTTCACAGGGTGAAGTCTAAAGAGAAGGGGAAAAGCATCTTTAGATCATTCTGTATCAGCAAAACTGAGAAACTGCCCATGTCAAAGACGGCAGCCAGCAAGCTCAGCACGGGGCAGGACGCTCCGTGGGCCACTCACATTGAAGTCTCAGCTGCTGTGGAGATGACAGCAGTCGGGGCTCAGCACCCACGTGCCAGCCAGCCAGGCATGTCCGTGGCCAGGTGTCCTGATGTGCTCACCAGACCCTCAGTCTTGTTTTGAACACCAGGATAACATTCAAGGCAGTCTCTTAGGTTTGGAGGCAACTAGAGCCTAGGACTTGACTGTGAGGCCCCCTGCAGAGCTTTCTGTGTCTCCACAGTAAAGAAAGAGTTCAGAGCCAACACACTAGCCGCACTCTCAACACCACTGGGTGCTCTCACTCATTGTCAGCAGCTTCTGAGATTAGTAAAACATTGGTTGCCTACATTTCTGCAACACAAGAGCTCCAAATCGCAGCTCTGACCCTGCAGAACGATTCCCAGGCTGTCTTTGAAGACAACCACCATGATCTGCTACAAACACAGCAGTGTCTAGAGGTGCTCCCCCCATGAGGGACCGCCCAGAATATCTGTGCTGCCAGAAAGCCCAATCCCTGCGGGTAAGGTGCAGAGGGGACATCGCTCATATTCACGAAGACCATCTCCCCGTCTCTCACCTGTGCGTGGCTGACCCAGGGCCAGCGCCTGGCTGAGCTGAGACTGGATGTGTCTCTGAGGGTGAGACCCAGGCCTGAAGGAGCGGCTTCCTCTTGCCAAAATTTTCACCTTTCCCCGCCGAGCCCTCTGCTGTTGCTTTTTTTGGAGATTCTGCTGTATTGGTGTGGTGAGTGTCAGAATGTGGAGAGCTAGGGAAAGAGTGTGTGGCAGGAGGGGTCTCAGAAAGGGAGGGGCTGGATAGAGGAGGGTCCAGGGCCACGCCCGGAGGCTGACTACCACTCCCACTTCCCTTTGGTTTTTCTTCCTCACCACTGCCAGGTCCTGGCAGCTGCTTCTCCAAACTTGAGATCTTGCCAGGGTGTGGTTTGTCAACTCCTAAAGCTGCAGTCTGCCCAGAAGGAGCTGTCACAGACGCTGCGGGTGCTTTGAACCTGAAGTCACCCAGCCTCTCTGCGGGTGCTGACCCCTCTGGCCCGCCACCCATGCTCAAGGACGAAGCTCTGGTGTCCAGAGTTGCCAGCTGTGCTGTCTTTCTGTCATCATCTGCCTGATCTACTCTTTCGTCATCTGATGCGACTTCAGGGATGGAAGGAAGACTTAAGTTCAGATCAGCCATGATGGGGGATCTAACATCTGAGGCCGACTGAAGGTCGCTCAGGGGGTCAGACAGCAGACCTTCATGGTCACTGGCTTTGCTCTGACACTGAGCCAGAAAGACGTCGTCTCCCTCAATCCTGAGGAGTGGAGTGTCTCCCGCTGAGCTTGCTTCACTTGTGGGGCCTTGGGAGAAACTCTCCTCTCGGGAGGATTGGAGGAGCTGACCCTTGGTGGGAGCTGGGGCACCTCGTGTCACCGGCCCAGGTGCGGCTGCCGGCTCCCTCTCAGCGTCTTCTGTGTGGGGAGCCACAGCAGGCTCTGCCTCAGACATGTCTCCAGTGGCAGTCCCCACAGTAATCAGCTCCCCTAGACGACCTTCACCCTCTTCTATGCACCCAGCAGACCCGGCCACCTCTTCCTCCGTGACAAGCTGCTCGGAAAACGACACACGCTTCTTAACCTTCTTTGGGCCCTCGCTGATGTTCAGTCCTGTCTCTTCAGGTTTCTGCACCACAGAGTCAACTGAGGGGACCGATTCACCCATGTGAAGAGGGGTCGCCATCGCTGTCGCTGAAAAAGTCACCCCTCTGTCACCAGCCGTGTTCTCTGCAGAAGCCTGAGACTGAGACTTAGCACCTGGGCCTGCGAGGCGGCCGCCACTGAAGGAGAGGGCAGGCGCAGCTCCCTGGGCCTCTCCAGAGGATGGGGCGTCGTCCTGCTCGGCAGTGGGGGGCCTCAGAAGCTCTTCTTGTCGCCCCACTTTAGGTCGTTCTGGAAGGAACTCCTCTGACTTGTCACTGCTCCCGCTTCCTATCCCTGTCTCACGGGTCCTCCCGGTTGGGGAATCCTCTATCCCCATACAGCCTGGAAGGTGTGGCTGTACGGAAAGTGGCCCCAAGGCAGAAGAAACAGCATTTGGAGCTGGTGTTAAACTCTCCTTTTGCAACTCTGCTTTAAGGGGCAGGGATGGTTCCTCAGACCCGGCCCGGCCCTTGTCTATGGAAGGCCATCCTTGGATCGGAGTGGATGTGGAAATGGGAGCTGCTATGGGAGAGGAGAAAGAGGAGGAGACAGAAGGACTCTCAGAGGACGGTGTCTCTGAACCATGCCCCAAGTCAGAGGGGACAGGTGCCTGACCAGAACTGGAAGGGGAAACAGGAAGAGAAGGAGAGCCAGAGTGAGGCAGGGACCTGGCTGTGGGCTGAGCCTCTGGAGACACGTCCACTCTGCAAAAAGGACAAAATAAAATCTGCAGGTCAGTTGCAGATGCACGGTGAGAGACAAAAAACATGTAAAATAAACCCATTCACAAGGGGAGAACTTAAAAAAAAATGGGGGGCAGTCAGTACCTTCAGAAGTTAAAGAGCATCAATACTTAACATACAAAAGGGACACCTTTATCACCAAGCTTATCTGCCACACAGAGGTCTGTTGCAACAGACAGGGAAAATCCAGTACAGCAACAGCCTGCAATTCTGCTGGTGACGCCCCCAGGCCCTGGTGTGTAGTTACTGCAGGCCAAGCGCATCTCAAAGGTTCAGAGCATAAAAGATGTGAAGCAACAGGCACAGGTGTGTAAGAGTAACAGTCTGTGTGTGTGCATGTGTGTGTCTCAGAATAAAGAAGCAGAATCTCCAAAAAAAAGGTCTCTCAAAAGTCTCTCCCACCCCAGAGAAATATTGTTAGTGTGGGTTTGAGTCACGAGAGGAGCACAAGCCCCCGAGGCTCACACAGGCTCTCGTGAGGGGAGAGTGAGTGCGCAGAGAACCGTCACAGGTCACTGGAGAGTGGACTGAGGGTGTCTCTGGCCAGCAAGCCGATGCCAAAGTGCAGGAGGGAAGATAACGTCTGTCTCACAGGGAACCGTGTGACCAGAACCCAGTAAACACGGGCTCTGCACTCAAGCCCTAACTTTCAACACCCATTGTCTCCTACAACCCCTGCATTCCTCTGTGACCTGATCATCTCGTGGAGACGGACACACCATGCCTGCTGGACAGTGGCTTTGGGCTGGGAAACCTCACTGCAATTTGAGAAGGGCAGGCCAGGCTGGTGGCAGGGACTGGCTAAAAACTGACTCAGAACAGCAAACCTTTGGCATATACAGGGCAGGTCACGGAACACGCAAGAACACCACACACAGGGGGTGGGCGGAAGGCTGCACGACAGAGGCTGAGACTCACCGGGGCTTCACAGCTCGCGTCTGGGGAGTCCTGCCAGAGGGGACTGGTGGTTTTGGTTCAAACTTGGACTCTGGGTCAGCTTCTGGTTCTGTGATCTGCACATCTTCAAAAGGATTCAGGGAGTTGCCCCGTCCAGGGACGACAGCCGAGGTATCTTTCTCAGACCCCCTCACGCTTTCCTCGACAGGCCCCGGCCCTCCGTCCCTCGGGCTGGCACCGGCAAGCCCACCCTCCTTCTCCTTCCCCGGGCTGACAGAGGGCCTTTCGCCCTCACTGCCCTTGGCCACATCCTTCTTCCCTGTCACTAGGGAAAGCAAAGAGGTCTTTTTGTTCTCCTGTTTCTTGCTCTCTTTGGCTTCTTTTGCAGCCTCTGCATTCCCTGGGGCTGTGTTTTCCTTAATATCCCCGCTGACCAGTGGCCGGTAGGATGGCAGAGACATGGACTTCGCAGAGTCGCTGGTGGAAGAGCTGGAGAGCTGCCTGTCAGATGACGTCTCACCGCCTTCCCCAGGCTCCTTCCAAGACCGAACAGCCAGGTTTTCCGTAGATGAAAATAAATGCTTCTTTCTGAAGCCCTGAGGGGACGGGGAGGAAGAGGGGCTGCTGTCCTTGGTCTCACTCTTGGCTTCCGACTGCTCCAGGTAAACATGGCTCCCGTTGATACAGACATTAGAGCGGGAAAGGACGTCATTCTTAGACCGAAGGCCACCGAGAAAGGAGAGTCCTTCCTTCCTGGGGAGGGTGAAGTTGACCTGGTTCAGTTGCTTAAGATCTGTACTTGCTGTTCTCTTGTGAGACGTGACTGTGGGAAGAAAAACAAAGAACAGAAGAAAGATAAGAAGTCAGGCAGGACACTGGTGATGTGGGGGAGGTGCTGTCAATATCTGAACACGTTTTTGGTTGTCACAATTGGGGGCAGGGACAGAGAATGCATTGGTGCCTGTCATTCTACAGTGCAGGGCACGGCCCCATGACAAAGGATTATCTGGCCCAAACCGACCACAGTGCTGAGGCTGGGATGCTTATAGTAAGCCAGTGAAGAGGGCAATACTCTTGGTAGGGCAGCAGAATCTGGCCAATACAGATTTAGTCACTGAAACTGAAGTCCAAAGTACACAATTAATTCAAAGTTCGATGACCCAGATTTCTGGGCTTCCTTTAAGGATATACCCCATGAGGGTTAAGCATATCAGGGGAACTCAATAACTACCTGAGGAATTAGTGAAATATCAGAATTACTATAAGGTTCCATGGTTTTATTCTTTAAAAAAAAAACAGACCAGCCTGGGCGCAGTGGCTCACGCCTATAATACTAGCACTCCGGGATGCTGACGTGGGTAGATTGCCTGAGCTCACAGGTTCAAGACTAGCCTGAGTCAGAGTGAGACCCTGTCTCTAAAAATAGCAGGGCGTGTGGTGGGCACCTGTAGTCCCAGCTACTTGGGAGGCTGAGGCAAGAGAATTGCTTGAGCTCAAGATTTTGAGGTTGCTGTGAGCCATGATGCCATGGCACTCTACCCAGGGAGACAAAGTGAGACTCTGTCTTAAAGTAAAAAAAAACAAAAACAGACTAGGCATGGTGGCTCATACTTGCCTTTGGGAGTGAGGATCCCAGCACTTTTGAATTGAGGATCCCCTGAAGCCATGAGTTTGAAACCAGTCTGAGCAACACAGCAAGACCCCAGCTCTAAAAAAATTGTTTTAATTGTTGACACATGTCTGTAGTCATAGTTACTCGCAAGGCTGAGGTAGGAGGATCTCTTGAGCCCAGAAGCTTGAGGCTGCAGTGACCTATGATCATACTGCTACACTCTAGTTTGGGTGACAGAATGAGATACTGTCTTAAAAAAAAAAAATAACTTGGATGTACTCCGGGGACTCATCCTGTTAGCTCCAAAAGCTTAAATGAATGCCCATCAATTACAGAGCCAGACATTTTAGAAAGTAATTTACACATTCTTAGAAGCCTTCTCAGAAACAGAGAGTATCCTATCCAAGATCGCCCACCACCACCACCATCTTAGTAACAAAGACGCTGGGTTGAAATCTTCCTCCTATAACCTGTTTCTTCTCCCTTGGCACATGGGCTGAGCAGAGGAAGAGGAGTCAGCAGGAAGGTGGTGAGAACTCACCGTCCAAAGAAGAGGAGGATTCGTCCTTGTCGTCATCATCATCCCACCGGGACTGAAAGTCCCCAGGACGCAGCAGCACTTTGTCCGACTTGGAAGTCGGCAGGACAGACATGGACTGGGAGAGTGGCGTCTTCTGCAAATTAGACTTGGAGAACAAGCTCTTGATCTTCGATTTCTTCTTCTTGTCTTTGGATGGAGACTCATCGTCACTGTCACCGGAGGGCGCTGTGGCAGACACGATGGCTGAGACGGTATCTGACGGGCTGTCCTTATGCCGTCCCTTGATCTTATCCTTCAGTTTCCCAAACGGATTCCGAGACTTGTCCTTCATGGAGAGGTCGAACATGCTGGCTGTCATGTTGTGTCGCATAAACTGGATGTCAACCTCAATCTCCCCTCGCTCTTTGTCCTTCTTCCCTGGCTTGGATTTCAGGGTGTACCACCTGAAAGGAAGAAAGGCAGAGGAGTCACCTTCAAATGCAAGAGCATAAAACAACACTCCCAGCAACCATTACCTGGCCCTCTCCTCTCTGCCACCACGAGCCTCTTACACAAGCACTTTCTTAGGCTTTCTCTTGGGGGCGGGGGGGAGGAGAGGAGAAGAGGGCAGAATTTATACTTCTATTTTTTTAGAAGAATGCTATTTCTAAAAATAAAGAAAAAAAAAACGTTCCATCAAATCACTTCCAATGACTAGTATTTTCCTTTCATGGGGAAAAAAAGGCAGCTGAGGAGGTAACGTGCAAGTGTGCTATTAGGTTGGCCAAACTAATTCCACCCTGTAGTCATTCGCTGAGGCTCTGTTACAGGTGGACGTAACTCAGATAAGCGCGAGGCAGGCTGCAGGCACATCCTTACACATCTTGCACTGGCCCCATTACAGACCCACCCAAGAGAAACATGCTGACACTTTGATAAGAACCTGCCAGGACAGTCCCTACAATGCAATGACAGCTTGGACACTCAGATGAGAACAAGAGCTTGGTGGTCCTTGATAGAAACCACCCCCCACCTCACCAGCTATAGAAGACCTGGCCTCCCTCCCTAACCCTCCCCCTCAATATCCTTTAGGTCTTAACCCACTTGCACCCAAGTGTCACATAAACAATGTGGCCTTTGTTACTTTGGTCTCTTCAGTTTTTTATCTGTCATATATACGTAAATCTCAGGAAAAATCAAAAGTATGGACTAGGAGGTGGCTCACGCCTATAATCCCAGCACTCTGGGAGGCTGATTAGGGAGCATCCCTTGAGCTCAGGAGTTCAAGACCAGCCTGAGCAAGAGTGAAACCCCATCTCTACTAAAAATGGAAAAATTAGGGAGGTGCCTGTGGCTCAGTGAGTAGGGCGCCGGCCCCATATAC